AACTGATCGCGATGTGATCGAGTTACGTCCATGGTTGGTTGGAGGCTGGTGAGCGCCATGTCACCTTCCGACTGGTGCTGTGTCGGAAGTTAGTGCTCGCAAGAAATAAGTGCGCATCTTCACCCAAATGAAGTAACCGCTCACCGTTATCATTACGGGAGCGTACACCAAGTTGAACGCCCAGATGCAGCTCATCAGTGGACAATTTCCCAACTTGAGCGTTCATATCCTCAGCAAGCACAACTGTGTCCATACTTCTTCTGTGACGAAAGCTCGTTCAGATGACGATAGAAGTCGTCTTTCACGGAATCATCGCTACAGATTGTGGGGTCGTAGGCAGCGATGATAAACGGAAACCTATTAGCCCCGCGCGACTTGGAAGTTTGAACGAACCAGCCAGTTGGACGGCACACATGCGGCTACTGATTGGAATCCAATCAACAGGAGCAGCTTCAGCCCGTGGCGCAGGGCAGTACCTACACCGGCTTGGTCGGTACTCAAAGCTGCATCGTCTCTGGATAGGCGCAATGAGAAAGCACCGCTAGGGTTACCTGAAGGGGATCGCAGCGTTAGTACATAGCTCGGGTTTTGTAGGCACCAGATATCGATCGAGTGGGTCTCTAATTTTCGGGTAACTGCTGACTTTTGACCGATCCGTAACAAGGTGCTTACGTTGAGGCACGCCCATCTGCAGGAGAATCGAGGGCTCCAAAATGGGACCGATGAACTGGGTTTGATCGATTGGTTGGACATGGGCTTGTTGATAGGACAAGAGTGATGCTCCGCGTTTGCATGCGGGTTGAAACCAGAACATAAGGGCCTATCTAAGCATGGTGGGGGATGGCCGAGAATTGGGGGGTTGAAAACAGGGGGATAAAAGCTAACTTGGAATGGGATGATAAGGGTGAAATAGCGTAAGAGAGGAATAAGGAGACAGGAGAACTAGAGCAGTTGCATCCAAACCCCTGTACACCCTGCTCGATGCCGCAGATAGGGTGCCGTTGATTATTCTCTGCGGTGGCCAGAGCATCAGGAAATTGTTTGTGGTATGATGCATAGTATTGCGTGGACAGGATACTGTGAGGTTGCCGAAGCCTGGACAGGGGAACAGTTAAGGTTCTCAACCAAAGCATTTGGTTCAAAGACCTGACCGCAAGGCAGCGGGTTGGGCGATGGGCTACAAGGGGTCCGTTTTAAGGAATAAGGAGCCACCTCATTCCAACCATCAACCTGGAAGACCAGGGAATTGAGTTTACCTGGCCTCTAGCCAGTGACCATTTGGCTGACGGTGCAAAAAAGCACCACCCAGCATGGCTCAATGAATCTCTGAGACAAGCAAACTATCGCGCCACTATAAAGTCCAGCCTCACTGCGATAGGTCGCTTAGTGTTACATTACATTGTTCGCGGAACCGGATTTTCTCCCATACATGCTCATACTATGTGCATAGATATCAGTGCCTGGTCACATCAAATCGCCCTGTCGTGTCTCAGGACTGTTGTCTCGACTTCTCATCCTGCCGAATGTGCGCCCCCTGATAATCCCTCAGACAGCTGGTCATTTGATTTCTTGATGTTGTCTGATATTTGAGCTAATCGTGTTAACTAAGTTTTAAACTCATGTGCTTTGTTTGCTTAAGGGGATGTGATGTTTTCTTGATCAGTTCCCATTTGGGGGAACCTGGAGAACAACAAAATTCTCGTTCCAGAGCAACACGGATTTCGCCAAAATCGGTCCTGTACCGCCAGTCTGTTGATTGCTCGTGCAAGCTGGGCGGAATTTATGGACGCTGTTGTAGGAGTCGACGCGGCCTACTTGAATTTCTCAAAGGCATTCGACCGTATAGACCATCGCATTCTACTCCACAAACTCCAGAAATATGGAATCGGCGATCCTGTTCTGGGCTGGATAGGAGACTTTCTCGTGCAACGTCACCTGAATGTGAGGGTTCGAAACAACCTATCGGAATCCATCGAAGTTCAGTGCGGCGTATCTCAAGACTCGGTACTCGGACCCCGCCTGTTCCTGGTTTTCATAAATTATCTCGCGAACGTGCTATCTTCTGACTCTTTACTGTTTGCCGATGATCTAAATGTATGACATACTGTAGCTGCAGTGGAGGATCACACAGTGTTACAGGAAGACCTGGACAAAGCATACACATGGTCCATCTAGAACATGCTGCATTTCAACGTCACCAAGTGCAAATTTCTCAGCATCCGACACAAATATATGCCCAAGTACCGCCTAAGACCACAAATTCTACATCGGGCTTCTCACGAGTGCGATCTCGGCGTGATCATCATCATCATCATCATCAACAGCCGTACATCAGCCATTTGAACTGATGCTTCGCTGCCATACAACCATGAGGACCTGTGAAATATAGAATAAGAAGAGGGAGAGAAGAGGGCTTTATCTGAAAACCTTAATGCCCTAAGCAAACATTCAGGGTCAAGGCGCCTACACCTTGTGTGGACAACCTACCGTCACAAACAGCTGGCTATCGTGCAAAGATAAGGCGGCATCGGCGAGACAGCTTCCTTGCGGCTTTCACTGCCCCGCGTCATAATCATCCATTACCCCGCAGATAACTCAGCACCAAAACACTTTAAACAGGCAATCCAATTAGGAGACGGTGTCGGTGTCGGTTGCGAACCATGTCCTGTAAAGTCTCGAGCCAAGTACAAGGTGAGTCACATGGACTCCAACCCGGAAGGCGAGACGGACCAACGGCAGCCAGTTTGATCGTCAGTGACTTCATTTCCCGCTGTTAAGTTAAGTACTGTCCACCTCGAGCCTTACGCCATCCTACACCTGGTAGACTGAACAAGGCCCTCCTAGGTAAGCGGTGACCAGGCATGCGTAGCACGTGCCCGAGCCAACGCAACTTATTCAGTGCTATCTGTTGTTCTAGAGACTTAGCATGATTATCACCACCTAGTACTCGCCTACGCACATCATTGTTGCGGACACGCTGGTGCCATCCGACACCAGCAATGCTTCGCAAACAACGATGATCAAAGATTTGAAGGCGCCTCAGATCTTCAGACCGAAGGGGCCAAGTTTCACTACCATAGAGCAGAACGGCCCTCACTGTGGCCTTGTATACACGGCCTTTCAGAAGGAGGGAAACTCCCTTCTGTCGCCAAAGATGACGCAGGTTCAAGAAGGCAGCTCTGGCCTTTGCAATGCGTGAGCTCACGTCAGTTTCTATGCGCCCATCATTGCTGATGCAGCTGCCAAGATAAGTGAATTGATCAACCACCTCGAGTTCCTCGTTAGCAAGCGTCAAGGGGTCATCAAAGTGGCTGGTGGTCCTGCAGCAACACTTTGCACTTTGAAGGTGCGAAGTGCATACCAAATAATGGGACCACTCTGGATAGGATATTCAGAGTTGATTGTGCCGCCTCAACATTGTCTGCCGCCTCTCGGCGTGATAGTTCACGATGACCTCGGTTGTTTGAGGCAGACTGAAAAGGCACCTAAGAAAGCAAACCAGTACCTCGGCCTTCTTCACGAAGTTTTCGGAAGTTTGATCTTCAGTCTTTCTTAAAATGCTTAGTGCGTACGTGAGGCCACATGCGGAATACGCTATTCAAGCGTGGCAATTTTGGCTCAAGCACCATCTCATCGCGCTCGATACTGCACAACGTAGGGCAACGAACAACGTCAAAAGTTTGACCAGCCTCCCCTAACCACTCAGGTTGAAGACTCTCAAAATATACAGTGAACATTATCAGCGTCTAAGGGGCGATCTCATAATGGTGTACCAGGTCCTGAGAAACCCCAACCACCCATGCCATTCCATTTTGATACTCAGTCGAAACACCCCGCTAAGAGGTCACCAGCTTAACCTGGTCACGCAGTACTGTCGCCTAGAATGTCGTCGAAACTTTTTCTCCCTTCGAGTGTCACAGTCTTAGAACACCCTCCCAGAACATGCAATTAATGCACCCACCCTACCCCTTTTCAAAAAAACGCCTTGACGATACTCTGTCACATTTGCACTACGTGCTCAAGCCCATGACCACCAGATGCTGGCACTAATACACAACAGACAGTTTGTAGTGCCATAACCCTAATCGAGAATGAGTCACTCCAAACCCCATTGCACATAATTTGATAAACGCTACTACTGTAGAAACTGGATTTCTGTATCCCGTCGACCCAAGATAGATGCACACGAATAAGCGTTGTCGTTGAGATCTTTTAGTTTTTCTCGCCTATAACGTGATCAATAACCAATCCCCTCATTGCTTTGTGTGCGTACATTATCACTTCAAACTCCCTTTACACGGCAGTGCAGTTAAATCTGTAATCGTCCGAACTGACGACTCCATTATCCCTTGATCTATCATTTTCTCACTCTAAACGCCCTACGTGACATGTCAAGCACCTGCGTTTTTACCCGTTATGAACCAATGTTCATTTTTAATGTTTCCGGTGATTGTCACAAGTCTAAGTTAAGCGAGATGCCATTGATTGCACTGGTTTCTTGATCAACCTTTTACTTAACCCCACGTGCTGTAATGCGTTCTGGCAGCTGCCATGGGGCGAGTCAGGTGAACTCGGAGACTACTCGATTCGACACAGCTTTGTTATTCAGTAGTACAGCACGTTGTCTTCACGAACCTCAATTGACGTCAGCTAACATTCGCTTCCTGTTGTCCACATCGATACGGCATTTCTTGATCCCGTAGTTCCACCTATACCTGTTATCTTTTGACCGTCTACGCGTTTAAGCAAAATATAATGATTATCAGACTCTGTCATTCTGGTCGACTCGTCTTAGCAGCGATTGTTCTGAATAATGCAGCACATTCGTCGGCTTCGTCGGACGCACTGTGTTACCTCTCACTGATTTGCGACCTTGGCATTGGGCATTTTTGATGTGGCGCATTCTAATTCTACCGGCAGGTTATTGAACTTGGTTCTTCACTTGATATTTTGCCTTATTACCAAGCAAAGCATGTACACTGACCGGACTGATCTTTAGTATGGAGAAGCACCGCACCAGCCTCATTTACTCATGTTGTCAGGCACTGCGGCTCGACAGAGCTCCTGTGATCAAGCCTACTGTGGTGGCAGATGCGTTCATGCAGCCACCGACATTCGATTGCGTTGTCGATCATGAGTACCATATGCGCATTGCGTTTGACATGGTGTGTAGCTCTGCTCCACAGATTTGACTCCTCCGGCACATTCTTTTAATATTCTAGTCGGCCAACCAACCACGCTTTCTCACCGTACCTAAGGGGTCATTTAGGTTAAACCTCACAGACTAAATATTGCTGCTTGCACAATTTAAACACTTCAGTTTCTCGTTCTACTTTAGTACCTCCAAAGTAACAATGTTCCATTGCTGTCAGTGGACGATTTCTGCTTCAAAAGTTACCTTCGACTCGGTGACTACTACGAGTGCAATCGGACGGGACAGTCCCCACAAGTGAGTGATCTACGGTGCATGCTTGCAATTCGTTTCCAGAGCGTATACATTTCCACTGTAACGTTACCAATGCATATTTTGACACAACGCTGAGTGGCATCGATGTTCTCCTGAGTACGATTGACTGTCAGGTCGGGTTGGTGGCTTACCGACAAGATTGACTTGAATCGTTAGGGTATGGGTGAGCTGAGATTCAACTAAACCTAACTCAGTTGTCGTTGACTTATTGAACCTAATCCGTTTTATATATGTACCAGCCTGATGAAAATTATCCAAAAGCGATATCATAGCTGACTTGGATTACATTTCCGTAGGTATAGTTCACGATTTGGACTCTTTTTGTGGTGGGTATTGGTACAGGCCTCAAAGTGAACAAACACTTCTCAATGATCATTGAATCGTTCCGACTGCAGCGCTGTACGAACCGGCAGCCTGTACATTCTTGCTGATTGGAGTACTAGGGGCGATCCAACACCTTTACTATTCATACATATTGGTTCGCTACTACACCTATCCATCTTCACCGCCACCGGTATCGAATCGGTCCACTGGGAGCAGAGGTAGCAGCGTAACCAGTGCTGGATCAGGGCACCGGTTACTTGAGATGAGCCATCACGCTTCACTTGCAATTCATTTTGTAACGGGCATCAGAATCCGGTTACGCTTGGACTGTATACTGTTGCTGAATGTCGTCCACGCGTGTATATCGATGAAGTACCGACGCAGCTCAGGGCCAATTTTACTGTCCCTCTCTTCCATCATCCGTTGGTGTCTTGATATGTAAAACAGCTATCCATTTGATAGAGCAAACGATCACTTTTTCTGCTGAGGTTCCGCTGCTTATCGATTATGCAAAACGTACTTTTTCACATCATAATCAATGTGGCCGTGCTCGTTCCGATCGCTGTGCTCCAATAAATTTTTCAGGCTGCTGCGCCGTTTTAGTGATCCAGGTACTCGAAATCAGCCGCTTCAGTAGTTAGCGACCCAACTGGATATCATTGCTGCGAAACTCGTGATGTTATTTCGTTTCTACATTTTTAGGACTCGTAGCTATTGCGTTTGATGGTCCTACCGTTTGTCGACCCCTATTCATTTCATTTTGCCCATCCATTTGCGATTCACCCTTCCTTTTGTTCCGCTATATCATCACGCCATTTCGACTTGAGTGATGTGGCCTGTATTTGTCGTCCCTCTTCTCTCGGACCATGATTGACCAGCTGAAATGAAGTGAACTTTGGGTGTTAGTTTTCCACACTCGCAGCCGCACTCAGGAGACCCGTGGCTACGAATCCGCCGAACTCTACTACTGGTAACTGTGACAACAAGTTGGAATAACTTAATGTTCGAGCTGTTGCCCAAATGCATAGTCCCTTATTTACGCTCCACAGTTGTTAAACCTGCTCATTGCAGCACAAACCTACTGCATGTAATGCAACTCAATTTTATTTTGCACGTGTACTTCTTTGGTCTCCCTAACAGAGTGGAATCTCCTTTGGTACCCCGATGTACTACGCTAGTTTTGACTCTGTCCTCTCATTCTAGCGGCTGTCAAACATCTTACCGATTTTGTATGCTCACTGCATTTTGGACTAGCTGTTTTCACATCTAATTTCCTTCCTCAGCAAGCTTACGTAAAAATGTCCGAAGCAGCTCTGAATTCCCTAACGTCCGCTGGGTTGAGAGAGTCGGACGATGCCAATGCTGGCCCCGGTAGCACAACTTGGTTTCCGGGACAATCCTTCGACTCCATCAACGGTAAGTACACGTTTTCCCGGTTTATATTGTGCATTCCTAATGAATGTGAATTCCAAGCCTTTGGTAGAGGTCGGCAAAGTCGCGTGCGGATATAACAGGATGCGAACAAACGTACGCTACTGAGGAATGCTGCATGCTGGGCTCGGCGGGAAGCGATAACGCGACAGGCGTGATTGGGGCTCGTCAGTAATACATAAACTATGGCGAAGTGCGCTCGTTGACGCCGATATCCACCACCGTGCAATCTAAGGGCTTGTAGCCTCTGTTGTTAAGGGAGGTGAAGCAAACCCCTAACGAATTATCGTTTTACTCGTGGGACCTCAAGCGCAACAATATCGCGCTTGCGTCAGGGACGCCATGCTTGGATGGCGTACTCCATATAGTGTCTCATGTAGGCGATCAGCATTTGTAGAAAGACAGATGGCTCGAACTTTCCGAAAGCCATCCGTAAGCGTCCAAGGTGCTGACTAGCTCTTTTCAATGCCTTTTCAATCTGTTTCGAGCACCCAAGGTCATCCTGCACGATTACCCCTAGGTCGCTTCCCTGGGAAGCACGTTGCAACTGCAGGCCAGGAAGTTGATATCTACGGCACGCTGATGGCCTATGCCCACAACTTTGCATCTCGCCATTTTACTGGAGCCAGTGTTCGGACAACCACTTGTAGACGCTGTCGAGATCTCTGCAGTGCCGCGTGATCGTCCACTGTTTTGACGACAAGCCACATCTTGACATCGTCTGCAAATAGTAAGAAGTGTTATCGCAGCAAACTGGCAAGTTCGTTTATGGAGGCTAGAAACAAATGTGGACCCAGTAATAAACTTCGTTATGTGAAACTGAGTGTTGGGGAAAACATCCGGTTGGTCAGGATGTAAAAAACTAGTGCTACTAACGAAGAATACGTTCTGTCAGTCCTCATGTCACATAGGACTCGCTGCTGCCGTCGCGTAACTGGAATCGTAGCAAGAGTCAATTAAGCGAGACTGAAGCATTTTTAAGTGAAGATAGGAAGTAACACGATTCCCTGCGAACAAACTTTTACTGATAAAAGTGTGACGTTTGGAGTGGGATCTACTGCTACGCGAATGCGAAAGCAAATTTCCAGCTGCGTCGCTCAAGCCTCATAGTACAACGCGACGCTGCTCTGGGACTTTGATGTATCCGGTGATGAGGAACCCGCTACTAATAACAAAAAGGTGCATTTAGCTAAATTGCTGCTTGGAACACATGTTGCATAAGCCAACCTAAAAGTGTATGTCCATGCTCAGATGCACCAGAGCCCGATACAGTCAAATTCACGTCAAATATGCCGCCCAGGTCTTGGCACTTGCGTTCGTAATCAGTGGTCTAGCACAGGCCGACATGCAGTTGACGCATCGACCAACCTGCTTTGTCATGCTATGCGCTTCGATTGGCTGAACCCACACAGGCCAGCTGGCAGCCTGGTAACCGATCGATGGCAGCGACTGTGATTTACGATGCCCGGTACGAGTTGGTCCGATAGTTTGCTACACTAAACACTGCGGACGAATTGGTGAAACATGGCGTGTGTCCCTATCTGATTTCACGTGCGCGCGTGCGTCCGTGAAGTTAGTTTGAACTCCAGAGGGCAGCGGGAATGAAGACCGCATTTCGTAGTCGCCTAATTGGAGTGAAGCGGATTGGCGCTTTGTTCAGTACCTGTCTCACCACTTTTCTTCAATGCGTAAATTGCTCGTGTAATAACCGACATATGTTAAAATTCATACTTGCGCGGGCGTCCGTGTGAGTGTCTTGCACTGGGTATTTGATCTCCAGGATAACCGTTGACACAAGTGCAGTTTAAATATTAGCACGACTGTACTCGCGCGCGTGCGCAGGCGTACATAAAAGGTTGCATCGCTTCTTACGTTTGAAGAGGTCAGTCAGTCCGTCAGTCAGTCAATCGTTTGTCGATCAACCGACCAGTCAAACGGGCTGTATCCATTCAGCTGTCTCTTCTGCATGCTTACATATGAGTGTATAGACGCTTGTGTTCGTGCGTACGTATGTGTACGCCATCGCGCGTGAATGTGTTTGTCTAATCCAATTCATGTGCAAATTGCTGTTTTAGTACGGCCCATCCCTCCTCCCTCACGTCCGTCCGCCTTCCCTGCCTCTCCATCTTTCACGCGACGTGTCTTGGTTGCTTGTTCACTGGCTTTTTCTTCCATTACGCCCTTTTCACGGCTAACTGCACATCGTCCTCGCTCCGGCCGGATTGTCAGCTACTTGTGCTTTGTTCGGGAATACAAGCGGTTGTCGCTGAAACACGCCATCGATAGCTTCCGGAATTCACTACCTTACCAACCTACCTGTACGATACGCAGATAAGAGTGACTGGAGTAACCCAAGTTCATATCGCACGTAACCATGTTCTTCACCGCTGCGAACTACGTTGCTTGGTTGCATGTGTGATTTTTGCAGTTATTTTCACTACCAACACTGGAAACATCGATTATATCAATTGTGGATTAGCAGCTGTTTATTATCTCCCAGCTGCGCGATGAGGAACTATAAACAATAGGTAAGTAAACGAAATCTGTCTAACAGGTGATCTATGCAAACTAGCGTTTGTTTTCTGCGCCATTTTTACGAACTGGAGCCTCGAATCAGTTTTAGAGATTCCATAATTCTAGTATACATTTTGACCGATAGCACCTTTGATAAGAACAGTGGGGGTCGACCAACATTTTCACCCATTGTACGTGCATGCAAATGGAGTATCGGACGCTTCCCCTAAGCACTCGCTGGTGATTTGGCCACTGTTTGCAGTTGCTGCGACTACTTTCCAATGTCTGGCTGGTAATCCTAACGACGTGACACAGATACCCTCGAAATGATCTAAGGAATACGTCTAGTGACATCAACACGGTTTTACGTTGTGCGATACCACCACTGAGCAGTCTGCAGGTTAACATACTCCCCAATCTTCACATGTAAAGCGGACTGACTGCATGCCTTACATATCGATTGATAGCTATTCTGACCCTCGCGCTGCAGCTCATCCATGTAAGCACCATTCTGTTGTTCACTGGGCTTGATAATCTGGTTGCATACGTTCCCCCACTAACGGAGGAGACACCATCAGTGCAGGGTGGCTCGCAGTTTGGTTGCGAAAGTTGGTACCTACTGCATACATAAATTCAGCTAATCTGGCTAACAGTATTTCGATGCATTTTGAGGCTGCGCTCTGTTCGGGATTGCGCATAAACATTATCAGTGGTGATTCTAAGTGAATAGGTTTGCTAATTTTTTCCCACCACTTGCCAGCGCCGACGTATGTTGAAGAGAAAGTTATGCATTTAGTAAACGAAGTCAATTTGTAATACACCTTAGCTATACAGGCGAAGAATGTTGTCTGAATAGCACAGGTTATGTGAGTATAGGAAGTTAATCGATTGACCTGGTTCGTAGCGTCATTAATTTTTCATCACTGGTATAAGGAGACAGTGATACAGTTGCACAGTGGTACACCATGATAGTTAACTACCTATGGCAGTCCGACGATTCCTCCCTTCGCTTAAGGTATGTGATAACAATTTTCCGAACTATTTAGTTTTACTATATATCTACAGAATCGAAGGCGCCTATCTGTGTTCGCCTGCAAGCGATTGTTTGATCAACTCGACACCCATTCGCGCCGTTCTCCACTTCGAATCGCTCTCCATTTCCTCTGTTGCAGCCGGTTCGATTAGGATTCAATAGCTGACCTGGTTTATCGGTGTGGTCAAAACTAGCTTAGACACCCTCTACATCGGCTACCTAAATCAACTATCTTAGAGTTTATCACCTTGTGCTTCTTGTTTGTCACCCCGATGTGGCCAATTTGCAGTGACGAAGACGACGGTTACCTTCAGAGCGGACATGTAGACAACGAATCACTGCAACTTTGCTGTAAGTGCAGGCGAACAAAAACGGGCGCCTTAGATTTCTTGGGTACATGGTAAAACTAAATATTTTGGAAGAATTTTACTATCATGCCTCAAGCGAACGGGGGAATGGTGTTTTCCCCTCTATCTGCCACATTTATCCTATTTATCGAACATTTTGTTGTCGGACCCATGGGGCTAGCAAACACTATTCCCGTAACGGCAACCTACTTGAGTGCCGATACATAGTTGATGTGGTCTAACAAAGCAGACTACATACGTGAAAGCCGAAATGGGATTTGGGCGGATACTAGACACCGTAACTTACCGGACAACCAAGGGGCTAAAGACAGCGCACAAAGAGAGTGGTAACACGATAATGAATTGGCTACGGTAGAGCTATAATAAGAGATCTGCATAAAGGTTCGCTGTTAACTTTCTGGCCACTACAGAGTTCGCTGCTAAAAGGCAAACCCTGGCCTTCGAAATCTTATGCGGCATATAAACCCAAGATCCATACAGAACAGCTGCTATCATATTTTGGGTGGGTATTTTCATCGATTTTGGCTGTACCGATAGTTTGGGCCCACCATACAGTTTGTTTCATTATTCCACTAGGTGCAAGACGATACACTATAGTTATGCGATGGCGCGAGCTTGTTAGGCTGGAAAGACTTGTTGGTTGAGGAAAATGCCGATTTGACCCTGACCCTCTGCTGCTGTCGGACAGTGCGCTCTGAGAATGGATCATTCTCTGCACCCCTACTCGCAACCAAGCTTCCACTGTCCCCCAGCGAGCATCGAGTTTCCACGCGTTTTTGGTTGACTGCAGCCAGCTCCGAATGTCTTGCTCGTGGGAGCTGGTCGTTCGGATGAGAGGGTTGGGTAACAAGTGCGGAGAAAACGATGATCGCAGAAATACCGCGAAAAAGAACGGAAAACAAAGGACATACAGATAGTTTTTCCATTTTATTCTGGTTTTGATTTAAATTACGGCAGTCAATGAGGAACGGAACGGATGTATACAAGTTACATGCCCAAAACTGTTTACACCTCGCACATTTTGAAAAACGAACCGCTTTGCCTACTTCCCGATCACGACGTCTGGTCGTGAGAAGCCATGGCCTAATCGTGGACACTGATGTCAGAACGACCGCAGTGTGTGGACTAGTTGGGATCTGTGTCTGGTCTGCAACACTGTTGAAAT